TTTTTAAATTTATTTTTTAAGTATCAATTGAATCAATACCACTTTCCCCACTATGCAGATCTACTTCGGCACTTGATGAGAACGCCCTGTTTTATTGTTGTCCCCATGTTCTCACGTCGGGTGTCCTATTTTATATTCAGTTCAAGGGCCCAGTTTTCTGGCTGTGCGGTTTGCAATTGACATTGATTCGCGGGACAGGGACTACCCGCGAGGTGGTCGGCGGCCTAGACAATGGCATGATCATTTCACAAACAAGGAGAATTCGAACGCTGACGCGTTCAGTCCCTGGGAGGAGGGGGTGGGGGGCTCCTGCATGCTATTGTGGCCACACGTGTGGTTGAGAAATGTGAGATGTTGTGTGGCAATTGTACATTCGTAAATCTAAACCTTCTTTTATTGCTTTTCAAAATAGTCCAAAGAAATGATTTTGCTTCGGCATTTTACAGTGCACCGTTAGCGAAGTTGTGTCGGAAAGGCGATGGCCCGGGTACAACCAATCGTCACAAACTCGTCAGTGACCCTAATTTGACGTCAAAAGGAGCTCAATCTAGAGCTACCTAGCCACAGTAAATTTCGACGATGAGCGTCAAAATGAGGTCTTCTGTGACATCATTTTGACAAACGTGTTCCACCCGGGAGCCCTCTGCCCCAGTGAAACGGATTTTCTCAAAATGACACCATTTTGAGTTATTGTCAAGATTTTGTCGATTTCGCTTGGCGTTTTTTGATTGGTAGGCAACGTGATGCTCGTGTTGTGGTGTCCCACGCCACACTGGAGTGTAGGTTAAGTTGCCTACGCGCTGCCCGCAAGGCGTTTGAGAGAAGGGCTCCCAGTTGAGGGGACAAGCGAGGTTCCAATAACGGCGAACCCCGCGTCACCGCGACAGCAGAATTCTACTAAAATAGTCAAGAGTACACAATTATTCTACACCTTTTTCATTTATTACGACCTTTCAGCTTTGTCGCTCATATGAGCCAATAAAGCAAAATGGCAACAGGGAAGTACGTCGTCAAGTTCCTACCCCTGCCGCCGAGCCGAAATATTTCTACTCCCTTCAGTTCACCAAAAAAAACTGATTTATTGGCTAATTTTGAGTCATTATTTTTAGTTTTTGACCGTAAATGACTGAAAATGAGATTTTTGTGTGCATTCGGCCGGATTGGTGACGCTGAAGAAACACTTCTGCTTCATTATTCAATGCTGTCATTCTTACAGAAGAAGTACGCTCTCCAAATTAAAAATCACACCCTTTCTTCTCTCCTGCGAGCTATAAACGGTGTGATACTGACCTCATAAAAAGGTGTCGAACTCGCGTTGTCAAAGTACGATTTAATATCGTCTCTTTAAGTTTTAAGTCACACTTTGCCCTACCGGTACATTCTTTTTTCAAAATTGTGTCCGAATATTGGCGAATTTTCGCGTATATTTTCACGTCTTGTTTTTTTCCCCGGTGTACCAAGTTCGACACCCCACGGGCTGTGTGTCGATGTTGAAACAGCTTCGAACCAAAGAACAAATAAATAAGTAGCGTCAAAAATTAACACGTTCCTTGCAGCATGACCACTATGTGGTCGCGCTCCAATGTTAAATCATAGGCATCCAAAATGAGCCGCAGGGAATGTGTTAAGAAACATCCACCCACACAAACCACGTCCGAGTGGCATCATTTCCATCATGCAGTTCTCTGTGGGGCTTGGACCGTCCCGGACCGTTCACGGCCCCTCCACTACGCCACCCTCTGCCTGGTCGGGTCCTCGGCGTTGTGCAGGTCCCGGACACCCGTCAGCTCGTCGTCGTCCTTCAAGATGCGCAGGTACTCGTCGTACGGCACCTCCTGGAAGTGTTCTTCGACGCCGTGCTTGGGGTGCGAGCCGTCGCCGTGGCGGAGCGCGACCCTCGCCACCAGGTCGGGCGACGCCGACTTGAGGTCGTAGGCCCAGCCGATGCGCACGAACTGGTCCAGGAAGACGGTGGTAAAGTTGAGGTACTTGTGCTCCGACGCCTTGTAGTCCCAGGGGAAGATGTGGTGGTAGTTGTGCCAGCCCTCGCCGTTAGACAAGGCGGACACTAAGGCGTTTTCCGTCGGGTTTATCCGTCTATCGGGGAGAAAAAAAATGTCATCAGGACCACAACTTCACGACCAGTCACACAGCCGTTATCGAGCTCGTACTTGTCGTAGGGGTGCGTGCCGTAGAGGTGGGCGGCGCTGTTCACCAGCCAGGTCAAGTTGATGAGTATGACGAGTCGGGTGACACAGGTCACGACCGCGATGGTCCAGGTCTCTCCCCAGCAGTACACGGGGATGAGCGTGGGCACCACCAGGCAGAAGATGAACTTGAGCAGCCGAAAGTTCCTGTGGCGAGGGGCGTCAGTTAGCAATGCGGATGTACCGGTGGCTGATTAACCCCGCGCACTTTCGTAGTTGTGCTGGACCCGACTGGACCGCACGTAGCACTGGAGCAGTACGAGCGGACTTGTCTGCCTGACGCTACGCGATTTACGAGGGTCCGTTTTTCATGTAACACATTTTCGGTGTAAAACATTTTTTCATCCTAACGAGTTTAACTGGGGATCATCCTGAGAATTCACGTTTCACACGTGAGGCCAATTTGTCTGTCCTGATTTGACAGCATACACGTACCTCGTGTGCCACTGGACGACGGGGTCAGACTCGACGTCGCTGAGGTCCACCTTGGCGCCCTGGCTGTACACGTCCGGGTGCTTCCTCTGGAGGAGCCAGCCGCAGTGCGCGAAGAAGAAGCCCCGCTTCGCGTTGTGCGGGTCCGCGTCCGTCTCGGTGAACTTGTGGTGCACTCGGTGGTCGCGGACCCAGTTCAGGATGGTGTTCTGTCCGGCCACCGAGAAGAACACCGCCAGGAGGTACCGCAGCGGCCGGCGCGCCTTGTAGGCCCTGTGCGACCAGAGCCGGTGCACGCCTGCTGTCACGCCTAGCCCGCCGATTTGCGCGTACACGTACACTACAGAAACAAAGTCGTAAATTGGCAAAGATATCAGACCAAGTTTGATATCGGAGACAGGATCGAATGGATCACAGATCGATCCTCTGGATCCTGCTGGCCGACGACATCGTGCCGTGCCCTTGACTCGGTGAGCCTGTCACATACTGAATATGTACATCTTCCAGCTGAACACGCCGGCCAGGACGCTGGCCACCGCCACGGAGTGGTACAGCCCGAGAAGGACGATGTTGTACCAGACGAGCGGCTGGCGCGCGCCGGGCGCCGAATTCAGCCTGGCGTCCAGGGCGGCGGCGTTCGCCTTGCTCGCCGCCGGCCGCGGCCGCGTCTCCAAGACCGAGGCCGCGATGGTGGCGGAACTTTCAAAGTTGGGCGGCATGGCGTGCGCCGGGTCCTAACAGTGTGCAACTCTAGGGAGGGCTCGCGGGGCGACTGAGCGGCAGGGCGCGCGCGGCGACGCGACCTGTACTCGCCGCACCGCGCCGACTGCAGTATTTTCCCGCGGCAATGACATGTTAATGTGGCAGTAGTGGATGCACAAAGTAGTGAAACGCCATCTTGTCGACGAGCCGATAACATTTTACGAGCAAAAGCAAAAATACGATTGAGAGGATGGCGCGGGCTAAAAAGTGGAGCCTACTCACCGACCGGCTGGGCTCCCACGACGGGAGGCTGCAGCAGCTTCGCGGGCTTGTTGACAGTAGGGCGGACACACACTTGTAACAGTGCGTCAGTCCTAAACATGTGACAGTGCGACAGTCCCACACACCAGGACCAGGGCTCCGTGACTCACCATACAAGCACCTAATAACGTTGTTTTGTTAATCGTTTATCTTACACCCGATAACCGGTAAACGGGTAGCATGACACTTGACAGATACAAAAAAAATACATTTTAACATTTTTTTAAAAAATAACCGTATGGTTTTAACAAATATTAGTTTGGTAAGTGTTAAAGTGATGTGTATTTTTTGTTAATTTATCTGTAACGAAATAAATGAAAATCGCTTTTAACGTTCAAGGAATTGGTTACATCTATAACGTCAAGGGAATAACAAATTAGACTCGCTTCGTCTGGCTGCTGGGACGCTATCCTCCCCCTGTGATTAAAATTGCGCCATTGCAAAGGATACACGACACGTGCCGGCGATCACGTCAGTGCGTCGTATCGTTAGGCAGATGCACTGGTGCAGGCCCATACGGCCGCACGGCCACACGCGCACTCACTGACTGTAGCGCCATTGTACTTTGACGAACAGAATCGCATCTGCTTCTTTCTTCCGGTCGTAATGCACGAGCTAATGTGGCCGATCAGGCATGCAAATCGGTGCGAAATAACGCTCTGGAAAAGACTGTCGGCATGTGTTGTGATACCGTTTATTCCTTTTTTCCTGTAGTAGTTTTCTTTTTCATCGCCAATCGACAGGGGCGTCGTCGTTGTGACAAGAAAATTTGATCGGCGCGGTGAACGTCACCATGAGCGTGGTCCAGATGTGGTATCAGACCGCAGCGGACCTCCTCGCCGGGGAGAGCTCGGGGCCCGCGTCCGCGTCCAGGACTCGTCGTCGTCGCCATGGCCGCGCTGCTCACGCTGGGGCTCTCGCTGGCCTGCGTCGCGCTGCTGGCGCCCTGGGCGCTGCGCCTCGCGTCGCACCTGTGGCGGGTGGCGCGGCAGGTGGTCCTGACCCTGGGCATCCCCGGCCCGGCCTCCGTGCCGCTGCTGGGCACGCTGCCCACCTTCCTGCGCTTCTGGGAGGACATGGAGGGCACGCTGCTCGACCTCATGCACGAGTACGGCCCCACCGTGCGCTTCCGCCTGGCGGACCGGGTCGCCGTGCTCGTCATGCACCCTGAGGACGTGCAGGTGAGCGAAAGGGGAGTGGAGAGAACGTCCGAAATTTTTCCGGAAAATTTTGAAACTCTCCCAATCGGGAAAAATTGAAATATTTCCAGAAAAATCGAAAAAAAAAAACAGAGCTTTTCAGGAAGAAATTAAAAGATTTTTGAAAAATTTCCAAAGCGTACTCTTTCGGAAAATAAAAATCCCTGGTCCCTCTATCACTTATTCCGCTTGCGCTCCAGGCAGTGTGCACGCACCCGGCCCTCGTCCACAAGGCGGACAACCTCATCCGCTTCCTGCGGCCCTTTGTGGGCGACGGGCTGCTGCTGCTCAACGGCAAGGAGCACCGCCAGCACCGCAAGGCCATCTCGCCCTCGCTGCACTTCGACATCCTTCGGGTGAGTCTTCCGCGGTGCCGCCGCCCTGGGCCGCCACGTCCGTGGGACTAACACACACTGCCCCGTGTGCCGCAGGACTTCGTGGCCGTGTTCGACAAGAACTCCAGGACGCTGGCGCAACGCCTGGAGGCGCACGCCGACGCCGGCCACGTCTTTGACGTGCACCTGGAGTTCGGCAGGCTGACGAGCACCACTCTGCAGGAGACGGTGCTGTCCGTGGGCGTCGACCAGGGCTACGACAAGGCCGGCAGGGTCTTCCACGAGGTCGGCGACATAGCCATGTGGCGAGGGATGCGACCCTGGTGAGATGCAGCGTCCATGAGCACACCGACCAAAGACACGTCAGTGCAGCGTACTCACGGCCGCCTCGGTGCACAGGTGGCAGAATGACGCTGTGTTCCGGCTGCTCTGCCCTCGCCACGAGCAGCACAAGCGCGCCAAGGACGACATGGACGCCATCGTGTCCCGCGTGTTGGCCGTCAAGGGCGCCGAGCTGGCCGCCGGGGCGCCCGCGCCGCCGCGCCGCCGCATGGCGTTCCTGGACCACGTGCTCCGGTCGCCGGACGCCAAGGCCATGTCCGAGCCCGAGCTGCGCGCCGAGCTCAAGACGCTGCTGTTCGCGGGCTCGGCCACCTCCATGGACTTCCTGTCGTACCTGAGCGTCGTGCTCACCATCCTGCCGGACGTGCAGGCCCGGCTGCAGCAGGAGGTGGACGCCGTGTTCGGGCCGCCGGGCGCGGCGGGCGCGTCCCGCCCGCTGCTGCCCGAGGACCTGCCCCACCTGGACTACACCGAGCGCGTCGTCAAGGAGGCGCTGCGGCTCGCGCCGCCCGTCCCCATGCTGTTCCGGCAGGCCAGCCACGACGTGACGCTGCCCAGGGGGGCCTTCATCCCCAGCGGCACCGTCGTCATCCTGGTGGCCGCGGGCACGCACCGCATGGCAAGGTGAGTCAAGCATCGCTTTTTCGGGATTTTTCCAGATTTTTAAAAT